TTTTTTAGTATAACATTTATCATGATCATAGTTATTATATTAAACAAAATATAGGTTCATTTAATCGACGTTCCTCTCGAGAATTACTTATATAAGTAAGATTGAATATGCATATTAATTCCAAAAAAATTAAAATTATCAATGCAAGACTCAAATTTATATAAATGTGAGAATCAAAAGATGAGTCAATTATAACATCAGAGTATTTTTTTTACTATCTTTATATTCAATGTTATAAAGGTATATATGTAGAGAGTGGGCTAGCGCCCTAATATGCCCTTAAGCATAGATTAGAGAGATCATAAATAACTACAAGAAAAAAGACATTTGACGAGGTTTATTTTTTTGTTTAGTGACGCTTATTAGCGTCACAAAAGAATTACCTACACTATTAAAAGTGTCGCGAGTTGCGTTACTAAATTTGATGTCACGAAATTATACGCGACGCAAGATTTAGCGTAGGTAATTTCTGATACGCAATGCTTTTTTAAATGCGTCACTTTTATAAAATTTGTGACGCAAACCGTTTGTATCTATAATCAACATGCATGACGCTTTTTTGAGTGCACCATCATTATAAATTTTAGCGACACACCACGTGTGCGTTGTAAATTTTCATATGTGACACTTTATTACGGCGTCGTTATAACAAATTTTGATGACACTTATTTTTTATTGCGTCGTTATTCCAATGCACAACACTTTTTTTTATTGTGTCCCGATTATGTATTTGGCGACACTATTTTGTAACAATATCATCAAAAATTGTCAACACTAACCATAATTGCGGTACTAAACTAACAATGTTTTTAACATTCCAATGACAGAAACATTGTCATATGACAATATATAAAAAAAATTATAGGCAAAACTGAATAAAATATCGAATTCAATAATATAGAAAGAGAATTCAATAATATAGAAAGAGATGTTACATCATTGTCTGATAAAAAAATTATACAAAAGTATGAAATGTAGAATAACAAAGATAATACACTTGCTTTCATTCGGTTCTTGGATCAACCATCACCTTCCTGTTTCAAATCAACCAAAGAAAAATAGTTAATCAACATGATCAAGAACACTGACATGGATAAACAAAAAGTAATCAATAAAACTTACTCTATCACATGAAAACATAAAACAAGACAAGACAGATAATTTAAGTTTTTTAACATAACCTTCGAAAATGGAAGACAGATGAATATGTTTGGGGTATGGTCTTGCTATGTCTTTCTTCCTTACTCTAATAAACTATGATAGCTGGGTAATTGTACAAAAGCTGGGATTTAAGAATCAAATGTAACAAAAACCCAAGGTTCCTGCAACGATGCTAAAACAAAGCTAGGATTTTTTTGAATCAAATGTAACAAAAATGCAATAAATGCTTACCTGCAGAACCGTACCTATTTTGAATGGAGCAGAACAAAGTTGTTGAACTTTAGCAGTTTTTGTTTATAAGGAGTTTAACTGTAAATCTGTAATAAATATGAATCACACAACTAAAAAGAGAACATGAAAACCTAATTAATTAAGCACAATAAGTAGAGAATAATTAACAGGCTCAGTCAATAAAAGATAAGAAACTTACAGTGAGGTAACACATAGAATTGCATATATGATTCCCATTATCTGTTTGTCTCCAATTGTTCCCCTAAATGCCAATATTTCTAAACTCCATAGAAAAACTCTAATTGAACGGGGCAAGTGAAAAGCAAAACTAATCAATTAATAAGTGTACACACTGATTTTCAGAAACAACAACTAAATTAAGCAATGAATAATAATAATAATAATAATAAATAAACACGACAAATGAGAAAACTTTCATTACTGAACCAAACAAAAATATAAACAGGATGAAAATCAAACTTACCTTCATAATAATCTGAGTTGATTAATCCAGTTTTTCTAATGCATTATTGAAACAGATAACGAATCGAGAAAGCCCTTTTGGACCAGAATTCGTGAGACCCAACTGTATAGCAGCGCCAAAGAGAAGCCCAGAATCAAAATATTTGTATATCGTGTAGGTGACACAGTGGTGCGGTCAACACACATCTGACAAGTGGAGAAGGTCGTGCGGGCCTCGTCGTTCACGGATGACAACTGGTGATACCGGAGACGCGACGAACGATACGAATTTTGCGAGAGGGGCACAATGGAGACGGTGGAGGGTTTTGAGAGCGAAATTGATTTCAATTGAGAAGGCACATCGGTTTTTTTAAAACTGATTGCATACATAATGCGACCGACATATATGAGTCGTAATTTAATTTAATATATACAAAGCTTTTGTTTATATTAATATATATATATATGGCATATACCGATATACGTAATGAAGGCACAAACAGATNTCGTTAAAGGCTCTAACTCATTTAAAGCTTGTTTGGTTAATTAGCCGAGCTCGACTCATTAAATAAATGAGTGTGAAATTGAGCTTGAGCTCGGCTCGTTATTAATAATGAGCTGATCTCGAGCTTCAACGAGTCGAGTGATAGAAAATTATATAAAAATTCTTTTTTCGAACCTTAAGGAGTCAAGCTGAGACCAACCGAGTTTTAAATTAGCTCGAGCTAAGCTCATTTATCAAACGAGCCGAGTCGAGCCGAACTCGAACCGGGCTGAGCCAGACACGTTTAATTTAGCAGCACTAGGCCTACGCATCGGTTTTTTTTATAACCGATGCATATGTAGAGTCCTACACATTATGTTCTCAAAAATTCGATGTAATAAGTATCGCCCCTCAAGCCACTCACATTTTTATATTATGTTAGAATAGACGAACATCAAACTAAGCAAACAAAGGGATATAGATGATTCACCCTTCGAGCTTTCTTCCCAGTTTAGCTTATATTTATAAAAATTCAACCTCTTACTTGTTACTTTGACAATACTGATATAAAGCACCCTGATGTGTAAAGTGTTTTTTATACTATTGGATTCTGGAATAAAAAAAAATCGACACTTTTGCATATGAATCGTAAATTAATTACATTTTCAAAAAAAATAATGCCATATTAATTATTACTATGATATCTTTTAAAAATGTCATTATATAATTATAATTTTTAAAAGAGTAATGCTATAGGTAGATAATAATGTACATAGAAGTGTACATAACACTCACATTGAGTGGGTCCTACAAAAAATAAAAAATTAAGTGGACCCCACTCCATGTGAGTGTTATGTACACCTCTATGTACATTTATTATGTATTTGTAGCATTTTTCTTTTTAAAATATGTCATTGTATTTTCATTTTGTTAACGCTTTTTAAACAAAGTCGCCACAATTTAGTTTTAATTATATTTTTTTAAAAGAGCCACTAAATTTATGTTGGTAAATAAAACCAAAAAAGTTAATATATAACTATGTATTAATTCCAAAAAAATTAAAATTATCAATGCAAGACTCAAATTTATATAAATCTGAGAATCAAAAGATGAGTCAATTATAACATCAGAATATTTTTTTTTACTATCTTTATATTCAATGTTATAAAGGTATATATGTAGAGAGTGGGCTAGCGCCCTAATATGCCCTTAAGCATAGATTAGAGAGATCATAAATTAATATGTAATACATTCAGTTATATTTATCACCACACATAATTCACATGTTATATTGTATAACTATTATAACACAGTCAATTTGATCATTGTCAAATATCTTATTACAATTATAAATTATAGTATGTATAATTATATTCGTTCAAATTGAAAAATCTATTTTACTATAATTGATTTGAAGATAAATAAAAAAAATGTTAAAAACACAATAGTGTAAACACAATCTAGCTAAGTTAGACGTGATTGACTGATTATGGTGTTGCCTAGCCCATTAGAAGTGCCTACTTGTGCATGCACCTAAAAAGAACGCCTAAAAATTGTGATACTTGGGTGCCATCTAGTCGTCACCTACACAATGTGTCCAGCTCGGCTTTTAAAACACATTATGACTAGTGGTTAATTTGGTTTTACTCTTTTTTACCGTTCAAGATCTTACCCAGTAGCATCCACTCATTCGAACCGGGTTTGGGGGCTGCTGTGACATACTTACAACAGCCCCAGCTGTAAAATATTAGTTCTTGGATTCCTAAGGGTGTGATTGTTTATCAACTCACCTAGAAAAAAACCAATCAAAACTCAAATTTAACTCAACTTTAACCCAACTCCACTTTCTCCAATATTATCAATATAATTAAATAATATCAACCAATCATTCTTACACATCACATCAACTTTAATTCACTATTCATCTTCTCACATAATTCTAACTAACCACCATTTCTAATCATTTTTCTCTTACTTTTACATCATATCAACTTTAATTATTTTATTTTAAATATTATTTAATATATCCACTAACAACTAACCATACCAACTTTTTTCAAAAGTAACTATAGTTAAAAAATACCAATCAAATGCAGACATGAGATTTAACCCATACAAAACCATAAATGTTATAATAATCCATAACTCAACATCATGTAGGAAATCATGCGACTACAATTTTTATGTCAAACCAATATACTCAACTTGACTTCATAATCTAACATCCAAGGTTTACACAAACGAGCACTCTTCCAAGATCAAAACCACAAAACCTCCCACAAAAGATGCATTAGGGAGGAGCTTCAAATTAGTTCTATGTCAATGAACGCCTGTTAACCAATGTTGAACGTGTAAGGAGAAAAAAAAACCCAAAAAACTGTCTATGTTGAGGCTTTTTTGCAAACCCATCAGAAAAAATTGGTATGTCGCCGGCGGAAACCCATTAGAAGAAAAAAATCAGCCTTTATTTTCAGCATCTTTGTAATGCGGGATACAACTGTGGTGTAGGAAAACCAGTCTCCGAGCAGCCCCGATCACGATTTTCCGCCTTGCTGGCCAGTTTAATTCAGCCCGATTTTTCTTCCGGCCGTGCAAAACATCTTCCAAGCTCCGATACCGAGAAGTCGTTCTTCCCCGACTTTACAGTACCCGAGAAGGGGACCTAAACTCCGATGCTTGATTTTCCGATTGTCTCCATCTCGACCGTGAACTCGCGCTCCCCTTGCCCACTGACGTGGATTAGTTTCTTGATCGCGACCACACTCCAGTCTTTGAGCTCGACTTTGTACTTGTTGCCAAAACCGCCCGAACCGATAAGGTTCTTGTCGTTGAAGTCGTGTGTAGCTTCTAGAAGGTCGGCGAACTTGAGTTTCTGGAGAGGCTTATCGAATGCGGCGAGGTTTATGCTAAGTTGTTTGCGAATCGGTAGTCCGGGAAGATGTCGAACGGGGCCATCTCGGGTATCATCCCAGACAGCTCGTTGTTCGACAAGTCAATGAGCAAAGTGAGGTTGGTCAACGACTGGGAGATAGTTTCAGTTTCCGCTGCATTACCGACTCCCGACTTCACCTGAACTCTTCCTCCGCCCTTTTCTCCAACGAACACGTTGAACTTCTCGTCTGCGAATACCGGCCATGTCAGTATCGGCCACGACACGAGCTCGAGCTCCTCCTCCAGCACGCTCCTCCTCACGACCCACACAAAAGGTCGGCCCGATGCCTCCAGGCTCAAGCCGAGCTCCTCCTCACCAAGTGGGTTTTAACTGGCTGGAGTTTTAGTCTCACCATCCGAATCAACATACCATGGACTGAGATTTTTGTGCGTGTGTACAGGTGTGTAAAATCAAGGGGAGAACAAAGATGAAGGGTAATTTAGTGGTGGTATAATTTGGTGTTATTGCTTCTCTCTTTTCCTCTTGCAGAGGTAAATTTATTATATAATTTGGAGTGGCTAATTGAAAAAAAAAAATACTTGAATTGGAACTCACACTCACCAAAAGAAAAACGATGCTCATCACGGATAAGTGGGAAGAAGATAAAGACAGAGACGGCCATAAGTACTAATGGGTGTAGAAAGCTCCGAGAAACAGAAAACTGTGTTGAATGAGAAGTGCTCGGTGAAAATAAAGGTTGTGACAATTTATTTGTCATTTATTTATAACCCTTGATCTATTTTTAATCATTTAAAAATCCAAGGGCTAATATTTTATAGCTGGGACTGCTATAAGTATGTCACAGCAGCCTCCCCAAACCCATTCGAACCCTGAGTCTCGATCGTGTAGGTCTATTGTTCTAATGCTAGCTAGGTAATTAATTAGTTTAAAATTTTAAATACTTAAACCCCATACCTTAAAGCTAAAGGTGCATTTTCTTGGGGCAAAGGACTAAAGTTGTACCAGATTTTGTTACCACACAAAAGATGAAAAGATTTGACTTAATTACAATTTCGGCCCAATTGCTAATTTTGAAAACCATACAAATTTTAGTGTTTCGTGTTGTTTTTAGGTTGGTTCTAGGCTACCGTATGATGTATGTCTGTATCGTCATCCCAACTAGATTCAGCGATTTAGCTTTTTTATTCGGCTGTTTATTCGGCTTTCTTTTTTATTCGGCTTATTTGTGTTTTCTAGTCTTGTTTGTTTTTTTTGAATATATGTGATTCTTATCGTTCNAAAAAAAAAAAAAAAAACTTCTGTATGTATTACTATTTTGAGGTTTAACTACAAGTTCGGTACGAGCTTCTCCAACCTTGCTTTGGAATGAAAAATTACGCTAGAGTAGTGATGTAGGGAAGCGTACGGGTGAAATAATATTAATGAGATCGCAATCTCAAGAACATCTAAACATGATATCAAATCATCTTTTCATTCAATAATTCATAATCAATCCCTGAATAACAAATAAGATGGGTCTTTAAATAAGACACCAAAACCCTAAAGCTATCTTGTCCACTAACCCACTAAATATTTAAATACTAAAATAATAATAATAATAATAATAATAATAATAATAATAATAATAATAATAATAAAATAATAATAATAATAATAATAATAATAATAATAATAATAATAATAATAATAATAATAATAATAATAATAATAGTCTACACCATTCTCTTCCAATTCGTAAGGCTTCGCCCTCGAAGCCGATGCGCTCCCGTGGCCGACGTGTGGTGTCAAACCCATGGTAGGAACTCCTATCGTTTCCCTTGGTCGAACACGAAGGTAGAATGTCGCCCAACCAGTTCAACACTCTCTTGATTTTCATCAGACAGGGATACGATTACAGTGGTCTCACCATCATCTGCAACAGATACCAAGACTCTTCCAGATAAAGACTTTGTATCAATACACCCTAGGCACAGCCATGAGCAAGCACATCTGCCTTCAGGATCAAATATCACACAAAAAACGTGATACCACTTATCACAAGAATCACAAGCAATTCATGTAGCAATATTCGAATCTACATCAATTGACACCGATCCACTACGAATTTTGCAGCCATCGCCATCCATGCAGACAACTGCATTCTCATCGATTCTCGTGTACCCACAAAGATTTTTTTCCCGTCACTGGAGGCTCTTCATCAAAGATTAGTGGACCATCATACAATGGCCTGTCATCTTGTTATGCTCCGAATTCAGGGATGTCAACGCGAAACGAGCCATCTCATTGACCATATTTGCGATCAAGTCCCCAATCGCATCGGGCACGATATCCGCCGACGAAGGCAATCTCTTCGCGCCTGCCTCTGTCGTCGCGTTGATCGTCGCCGTCCACGAAGATCGAACCCCGTCGCTGCATGTCACGGCTCTCGTATGCAGCGAAGGGGTCAGCCTCTACGTGCTGGGGTGGATAATCGTCGAAGGAATTCACCTCCAAGATTGTCTCCTCGCCGGACGGTGGTTGTGGAGATCTCTGCGGGGCGCCCCGCCTGGACCATGGCCTCCATGTCCTCCGTAAACTCCCCCGCGCACGCCCAGTTTCCGGCGTCACGGTTCATCTGCAAACCCTCAACCATGTTATTGATCAAGATGCACTTTTTCGATTTCCGTCGAAGAAGTGCATGATTATGCATGATTTGTCTTAATAAACAATCAAGCCTTAAATAACTCATTTTTGAACAAAATAACTCATTTTGAACAAATTATTTCATAAACAATCAAGCCCTAAATGTCAAAACGACTTACCAGTGACTACAAACCTTCCATTGACAAACTCTCCTACTTCACTCCATAGTGAAGAAAAGCTTCTTCATTTTTGCTATAATGATTCTGTCCTCTCCCCAAATGAATCCAAGCAAAATCGAGGACCTCTTCCACCACCTCGGCCCGCCACAGGCCCATCTTGACCATCACCACCACTACCAGTTTACCGACCCCGCCCATCGACGACGATGCCTTCTCGCTCACCGAGATCGATCTTTTCCGCGATGTCAACGACGATTACAACGAAGACGCCAGCCACACCTCCTCGGACGCTGAGATTCCCGTCCCCACCTCGAACGGCCGCGCCGTGCCCACCCGGAGCCCTAAGATGCAGGATCCTCCTCCGCCGTCGGTTGACCGTGGAAAGAGGCCGATTCAGCAGCCCCCTGTTCTTCGAATCAGCCCCGAGCCCCATGTTTCCGCCCAATTCTACACCTTCAATAGGGATTCACATGCTCTAATGATTCGGTGCCTGATTGAGGGGCGGACGGCGACGACGGAAGAAATTCGGGCGGTGAATCCACCTCCGCTGCTATCAACCTGGCGCTTGGTATGGAAGGATCGAAACATTGACACGGTCTATCTGACGGCATGGAAGCGCATACATGATAAGCTCACCGTCAACGTGTCGAAATCCGCTGCCTCAGTCGCCGGTAACGTCACTCATTTCCTCTATTTCAAAAATAATATCGGTCAATTCGTCTCGAATATTGATCGGTGGCAGGACATAGTCATGTCTTTCCATGGGGATGCCGATATCCAGCACTTAGGGTTAAAGATACTATAGAGAGAATTAAGCAGGTCTGGACCGTGGGGGCCAAATATTACGGCATACCCGAGAGTTATATCAAGACATGTTTGGCTGCTTGTCCTTTATGCCTGGATGAGTCCTCTGGCTACGCTCTAAGGTCCAAGAAGCGTAAATTTGAATACACGGAGTCTCTCGATGTGCCCGCCAAGGAAGTGCAAGCGAGGTTGCAACAGCTGGTAGCCAAACACAAGGTCGTGCTGTGCATAAGGTAGAAATACATTAGGTACAAGCCATTTATGGCTGAGGTTAAGGATTATGCATGCCACAGGGTAGGCGAGCCTGCAAAAAAGCCCCGATTCCTCAAAAAGGAGTCGTATGCTTCCAAGCGATGTGGTTGTTAGTTTCGTATAAGGGCGATAGTACCAATATCTAACTATAATGAGAAGGAAAAGACATTTGTATATGAGGAAGAAGGAACAACTATGTTTAAGCTTTATGCGGTGCATTCGGGACACGAGCCAGGGCCATTGGATGGAAATGCAAGGATCATGCATCGAGTGTTGGGGCACAAAGGGGTTGTTTAGATGGATCATGAGACTGTGTACGGGATGGCTGATGATGGGGAAACCGAGAGTTTTGCGTTCTCGGGAAATAAATCAGGAGATCTGCAGAATATGCTTTTGCGGCAGGTCCAAGAATTGAGAAATTAGTTGGGTTTGCTGGAGGGTAGGACTGGGAAAATGCCTCCCTCGTTGTTGGATACCATGTTAATCGAGCTTTTTGAAATTGTGAATAAACTTAGAAATGTTGCGGAGGATGGTTCGAAACCTGTTGCATTGCTGTCAGAGAAGCAGGATCTGGGTGATGTGTTAGTGGTGGAGCATGATTTGCCGAATTGGGTTGATGACCATCACACAAGGATCTATGGGACTGGTAAGGATGCGGATGGTTTGAAAGATGATGAGGCCAGCTTTGGAAGAACTCTTGGGGAAGTTGCTTCTTGGAATGAAATGAGGATAGAAAGCAGGAATGTGAAGGATATCCTTTATGAGAATTATAAAGAAGAGAAATGGTTTAATTGTGGCGTTTGATCACAAGGGTAATATTGAGTACCCTAAGTTGATCAAGCCCTTAAGACATGACGAGATAATAAGTTCAGATGTAGTAGGTCTTGCTGATATACAGGTAAACAGCTTCGACGCTAAAAATCCAAAATGGTTTGACTCTCTTGGTGGATTGGATACCGGAGCTGATTGTAGTGATGGTGGGTTTAGACATGGGGAGATCGTGTAGAGACAGCTTATACCGGTGACCTGCTCTAACTTAACTCTTGAGTATTTTTTGTGTCACTTGTGAAATTTCTTTATTGGAAGGTGGTTGTACATTCGCATGCACAGCTCAAAGGCTCTCATAATTGCAAATGTTGCCTAGGTGTATTTCTTGCTTGTACTTTGTAAATTGTAGCCATTTTGGTTGCCTTCATATACATTACATGCCTCTGTGTTGACTTCGTTTCGATAATGAATTTAAACTAGGATTTGTTAATATGTTGCTCGGGGCTAGTTCAGCGATCTATTTCAACTTTATTTGGTATGTGTGCTGTTTTGTTAAGCATAATTCCAGTTGGTGATATGCGTTTGTTGTTGCTTAAAGCCTTAATCTCCTGTTTGTGAATTCCTTTCTTTAGAGAAGTTTTGTCGGGATAATTAAGTTTACCAGATTATTTCATATGTGCTCTATCTTGTGCCCGCAACCCAACCTCCAGTCGTTCTCCTTTTTCTTTAATAATTACTGAAGATCTTGACTGTAATGGATTTATCTTTTATCTTATTTTCGAATGTAGATGGCCTTACATGTTTTTTAAACTGTAGAAACTCTTGGGTAGCCACCGTGGCACCATGTTTGTTTCGAAAGGGCCTATCCATGTCCTAGGCAGAAGTGTGGCTTTAGTTTTTGCAATTTTAGAAAACGGATGGAGAGGTTTTATGATGAAGAGATCGGTATGGTTTGTATAAAATATAGAAATATAATCTAGTTTTAAATTTTATGATACCAAGAAACAGACATCTTTCTTACTGAAATCTTGCTTAAGAAAATATGTTTGCCTCATTAGTGATTGACTTGAAGGTACTTAGGGAATATTTCTCCTTGCTCAACTCCTGAAATGTCTCTTAAGCAATACTGGCTAATGCATATTGAACAGCATGTGATAATATTAAAGCTTATTGATATCCCAGAACATCAAAAGTATCATATTGCAGCCAATAGATGCACTGGATATTTATGAGTCTTACCATTGTTAGGGTGGGTGTGACGTGTGAGGTTTAGCTAATTGTACAATTAAGGTTGATCTGAGGTATTTAATGATAATAACTTTTCTGTTAGTGGTCGGATCCGTTTTATGGTATTACTGTAAGGATGTTCCATATTGTTCCAGGGATTTAAAATTCCAATATAGCTGAACAAGAATGAGTCGATGAAAATGAGCACTTTTGGTATTTGTTATTATTACTGCTTCTAGTAATATACCTTTACCTGGCTTCTGCCTAAAAATTTCCCTTTCATTAGAACACTGCACCTACACTGGTTGGTTATAGGGGCCTTGGAACCATTTGGGTCTTTTATATTTACAAAAGATGTAATTTTGCATAAGTGTTCCCAAAAGATTAACTAATTGTTGAAACTATTAATTTCTGCTAGAATTGATGTGGTTTACTTAAATAGAGAAAAACATATAATAATGATATGTAAAAGTAGATTTTCCTATCAGTGTCTAGGCTGGAAGATAAACTAGAGATGTACAAGGACGCAGAAAGGTACGAAAATCTGTGTCTCCTATTTCATGATTTCTCCGTTGGGAAAATATTATTTATAAATTAATGAATTTTTTTTGGTAGTAGTGGCACTCGTATGAAGCGGCTGGATACATGATGCCTACACAACCACTTGAAGTCATGCAAATGTGAAAGGTGTACAACAACAACCACAACAACAATATAGCCTTTCAGTCCCAAGCAAGTTTGGGAAATGTGAAAGGTGTACGTTACGTAATTGGCATTGGCAGGTTAGGATTTGTGAATGTGTTTTTGCTAGAGTTTAACATCATTGTAGCGGACTAACATTTACATTCACCAGGCCCCATAAGCTCACCCATTTCAGTATGTGTCTACTTTGACTCATGGAAAATTCTTGACCCTTGAAGTGAGTACATATTACATGTCCTTGCAATCCTTGCACAAGAACAAGAGTAAGAACAACTTTCCGTTCATCTTTTCGCATATGACGTAAACAACACGTGAAGTGATCTCTCACATAATTGGACATCAATAGACTTTTGTCCAAGTGTTTACTTTCAAGCATCAATAACTAATCTATCTGTCCCATGAAGTAAAATATATGTGTCGGGCTGTCATCTAAATTTTGTTCGTTGTCATTGCATCCTATTATGTCTGGTTATCACCATTGCTCTCAAACTACTTTTTTTTCTCCTTGTGTTCTCGAATTATGCATGATTTGTCTTAATAAGCTGTTCGTTTTATTGTATGATTTAAGATATGATGTGAATGCGTTTCACCATGTCACTTTGGGATTAATTTTTTCTCCTTAAATTCTGTGGCTGGTACTCAGAAGCATTTGTTTCTTAGGAGTACAGAGTATTATCTCTATGATCGATAGTAGTACTCTACCTGATTGAAATAGCCTGAAAACCATAATCTAAAGTATCTTAATCTGAACTTGAACATTCTTTTCTTCTTAAAGAAAAGAAAAGAAACTTGAGGTTTGGGTAGGTACAAAGAAACCTACAGACGTATTGTTTTTTTAATAGTTATAGGGTGGTTGGCAGGAAGGGGATTCTAAATTCCTAAATAACTGTGATGTACATAGATCGAACCTTGTATCAACCAGTACAACACTCTTATAAAGGATGGGAGACACCACTTGAGCTACAAGCGCGTGGTTCTTAGATTGGTTCGGTTGATGGGGTTTTTGTGTATTGCATATGTTATATGTATATAATTTTCTCGGACTGACCCAGATATTATTATTGGAAAAACCAGTCAATTTTAGGCTAGTGGTAATGGATAAAGTGAATTGATTTATTTAGTGGAGTGAGTTATATTACTTTATGCATTTAAACCACCAACCGTTGATGCTTGAATGAGCTAATGTCATGAAATATTGCAATCACATCACGTATTTCGTTCTGAAAATTACAAGTACTGCCAACATGGTTTGTTTCAATTTTATAATTACATCATTCATCTTTTTCAAGATATTGGGGCTATTTGTAGTATTCAAAGATATTGAAGGATGTCTGGTGGCATCAGCAATTCCATTGATCGAAGATTGGGGTACGATGTTGAACTGTTTTGGGTTCTTTTGCAATTAGCTTAAACCTCAGGATTTTTTTTCATAAATATTACATTTAATTTTTGCAAGTGATTCCTGGTTGGTATTTTTTTCTGCAGATTCTAGGATGCAGCACCATGTGCCAAGTGGGTAATATTTATGATTTTTCATGCAAAGCGACGTGATTCTTGGAGCTTGGAATTGAACAGAATTGTTATAACACCTATATGAAGAAGGCTTCCACTTTGTTCATGAGCACCATGAATATCTCCAAGTTGGTTCTTCCTGTGAAACTGAAATGATCACAGCTTTTGAGGCCTCTGTTTAGACTCGGCTTTTTATAAGTTATGAAATCTTTACCATGTGGGTAAAGGTTTATGACCTTGATACAAAAGCAGAACGAGGCACTATGTGGTGAACCGTTTTTTTTTTCTCGCTTTTTAAATCTTATTTTGTTTATTCATTATGGTCGTTGGCCCTAACTTCTGCCGTTGATGGAAATGTTTTATGCTGGTTCATGCTCATGTAAAACCCAGACTAGTGATGAGCGGTCTGATTTTGGTTGTGTTGGATGGTTTGTCATTATGAAATCTCATCTTCTTGTCCTATACTTGTTGCAATTTATTACAAAAGACTTTTCATAGTGGGTCATTTCTTTTTTGTTTTACCTTTAATGATGATTTTGATAGACGGCGGTGAATGATATTCTTGCATGTATGCTTTCTAGTATTGCAATTAGTCCCCTAATTTATTTGGTTGTGGCTGAATTTGTTTCATCAGAAAATTCCACTAGACCGTGTAATAGCCGAAGATATCTATCTTGTTTGTAACACCTTTGAAGCTTGCATCTTTTGTAGCAAACCCGTGTAATGTTGTAGATAATAAAGTTAGGTTATCTTCTTTTGCTATTCGTGGAGAAGTCTCAATGATTTGGCTTGCTCCGGTTCCTGCTTGGATCATGTGTTGATCCTAGTAGCTTTATAACGTCAGTTGATGGTTCGTTTGTAATTTTTGTTTGAGTTTTATAAGATGTTGTCGTTTGAAAAAAAAATATGAAAATTCCACTAGACAAAATTATGCTATGCTTTAGAAATAAAATTACAGGTTTCTTCGTATACGAAATAATAATAAAACACTAGGAGTGACTCTCCCTTGGATTCATTATGATAGCCAAGAGGAATAAATACCAAAATACATTTTTTTTTTTTTTTTGCTTAACGTCTACAAGGCTGCTTCAGTGTAGGTCTTCTAGATTTAGCTTAGTAACTGATGGATTCAACTATTTTGTTGTTCTAGTCTGTAAATGTCCGTGTTTATTAATATAAAGCTTTATCATTTTAAAATAAAAAAAAAATACATAAATATAGACTTGAAACTCTTAACGAGACAAAACACTTCACTAAGGGATAATGAAGACGAAATTAGTGAAAAACAAATACACAAAACTTACTCTTAATAAGAGAAGATGGGGAGGAGTTTTGGGTTTATTTATTTATATTATATTTTTTGTGGGTGAGCGGAAAGGATTGGTGAGAGACAAAAATTTAGTAACAGAATAACTTCTGTTTTCAGAATAGGCAGAATTTTTTCACGAATGTCGAACAAGCGTCTAGATTTTTAGATTTTTTTTCTACGGACATTCTAACCTACATTTGTCAAACCCCAATGTAACAATCTATACAATAGAGGCAAATTATGGCGTGATTACATTGTTACATATGCATACATATGTAATGTATAACTAATACATCAATACACTAGGNAATTTTATGGAATTTTAATGGGGGTTTGTTTGGGATTTCTAAAAACTCTTTAAGACTTTAGACCTAGTGTATTTAATTTAGACTTTTTATGACTTTTAAAATTCTCGAGTCTTACAAATCTAGAAGTAATTTACTTATTTTACACTATGATTTGTTAAAACGTTTGTTGGGATTTCAAAAGAAAAGACCATATACGAAATTTCACTTCCAATCTCAACTGCATATTTAAGATTTCATAGTACTCCTCATAAATTTGGAAATCTTAAAAAGTCTTATCATAGTCTCAAATAAGTTAAATATCTCAGGATTTTGTATGATTTTTTAAAATCTCAATTGAATACCTCGAGACTTTTAAAATCTAAATTAAATACACAAAGATTTTTGAAGTCTTAAAAGTCCTTAGAATGCTAAAAAGTCTATAAAAATGCCAAATGAATGCACCCTTTTCATTACTTGATAATTTAAACACTAATCATATGCTAGTTTCATTTAATGCATAACCCACTAATCAAATACTCTCTTTGCATGAATCATGCTTAAACTAATAAATACAAGTAGTGTTAGGCCATTTTCAATCCAAAAACTCATTTTCACACTTATTTTCACACGGGAGCATCTACTCATTGTGTAGAATACACTGTTACGCAAATGTAAATTCTTATAGGCATTTATGTGCATTTCGTCTAACACTATTGTGCATTCTATAGTGCGGTGACATTTTCGTAAATTTGTTAACTTTAAAGGTTTAGGCGATGGAAATTCTGTAATTTTTTAAAAATATGACGGTATTTTTACTGTATATATTCATACACAATATTGTGCACTTTACTTATTATTGTTGTGCATTTCTTAATAAATTAGAGATTTGACCAATGACTTAAATTGTAATATAGTTAAAATTCCTAAATTGCAGATAAGTATGTGGAAGTTTCTATTTTTTTTAAATAAAACAAGTCTCCTCGAGCGGGCCGAGCGCGAACCCCTCGATCTCCCGACAGGAGTTGTATATCTACACATTTTCGGATCGCGGCCTGCACGATAAGGAACTCGGTGAACGATGGCGGGTAGTAGCCATCGAGGGAGGCGAAGCCGTTGATGATGTGCCAGTCGAGGGCTGTGAGAGGATGACGAGCTCCCACAAGGCGGATATGGAGCATAAGACAAAGACCACAACGCGGGAGAGGGTGGCGAGGTTGTGGATGACGTGGGACATGAGTGAGTCGTAGAGGACAACGACACGGTAGAGGGGGCGACGAGGACGGAGGAAAGGAAGAAGACGAGGTCAAGGAGGGGGGAGCGAAGGTGGAGGGAGGCGGCGAGGGAAGGCATGATTTGGGAAGGGAAACGGGTGGGATCGGCAGGGTCCAACAAGGGGTTTTCGAAGGGGAGGACGGGGAGCTCGTGAAAGTAGATGGCGAAGGCAGAAGGGGGGGTGGGGTGGTGGAGCCGGAAGCGGGACTGGCGGCGGCCGGTCTAGACTGATAGAGTGGGGAGGGAGAGAATATGTGGGAGATGACGGGGAGGGAGAGAACAGGTGGGAGATGACGGGGAGGGAGAGAGCGGGTGGGAAAGAGAGTGGGTGGGGTTAGGGATATTGTCCAAAATACTTGAGTGTAAACTTGTGACCTTTTTTAGTTGTTGGGTTATGGGATCTTATGATTACGATGTATTCGTATTCTTATTTCTTTCATTGAGAATCATTCTCACCGAAATTCATATGTGTGTGTGTGTAACATTGTAATTTTTAATGTTAAAAAGTTTACTTTTTCTTTTTCTTTTATAGATGAAATCATAATTATTATTAAAACTTCTTAACAAAATAAAAAATGTTAAACAAATACTATACGACCATTGCCATAGACAAAAAGTAACAAAATGCAATTATACAACTGCATGGTGCAAAATATAATTTCATAACTTTTTGACGTCATGAATAGCCAACGCAGGGATAAAATGATGCATAAGTTGATTTTTTACGTTGAATTGGAGCAAATTTTTGCAGTTGAGGGTGGGAAGATCTTAAAAGAAATTAGTTCGGTCGTGAGCTTGGGTCGGTTCTACTTATTAAGATTAACTCTTAATTCAATTAACGAGTCAAGTTCATTAAATTCAAAAATAGGGTTTTCACATTTTTTTTTTAATTTACTTTAGTTCAGCTTGATAAGGATCAAGTTTCGCTCATTTAGGGCGTGCTTGAATACATATATATCCACTGAAAATATTTTTTTTGCTAATTAGAGTTAATTATGAAAAAGGTGGTATAACTAGTTGTTAGAGTTTATATTTATATAATATTTAAAATACAATAGTTAAAGCTGATATGATGTAAAAGTAGGAGAGATTAGAGATATAGTGTGAAGTGATAGTTAGTTAAAATTGTGTGAGTAGATGAATAATCAATTAAAGTTAATGTAATGTGTAAGAATAATTAATTTATATTATTTAATTATATTGATAATCTATAGTAATATAAAGAGGTTGATGGAAAAATACTTTTATAGTAAATTTGACTAAAAAAATAAATAGTTTGACTTACTATTAATGGAAATTTTGAAAAAAACACATGTACCAAAAAAATTGAGATTTTTATGGTAACAAATTTGGAGATTTTAATGGTAACAAATTTAATTGAGATATCCCAAAAAAATTGGAGATTTTTATGGTAACAAATTTAGAGATTCCTATACCAAAATCTAATTCATTTTAAATATTAATTCATAGGAATCTACTTTTATTGGTAACAAATTTAAAGATTGTTATGCCAAAAAAGTGAGATTTTGAATTTAGATATTCCAACAATTACGGATTTTTTTCCTATTCAAATTAATGTTGTAAATCAAACAAAAATTTATTTTAAAAATAATGGATGTTATACCAATTATTGATAAACTCCAATCCCATAGGAGATTTCTATGGGATTCTTATGGTAACAAATTGAGATTCTTATGCCAAAAAATTGAGATTTTGGATTGAGATATCCTAACAATTTCGGATTTTTTCCCCTTCAAATTCATGATGTAAATCAAACAAAAAATTATTCCGAGAATAATGGATGCTATACTAAATATGGATAAACTCCAATCCATAAGAGATTTTTATGGGTTTCTTATGATAACAAATTGAAGATTCTTATGGTAACAAATTTGAAGATTCTTATACCAAAATTTAATACATTTAAATATTAATCCCATAGGAATCTATTTTTATTGGTAACAAATTTAAAAATTCTTATGCTAAAAAATTGAGATTTTGAATTGAGATATTTCAACAATTACGGATTTTTTTCCATTCAAATTAATGTTGTAAATCAAACAAATAATTATTCTGAGATAATGGATGTTATACTAAATTAATATCACTGGGCCCACACGTTAATATGATATTAATTAGATAGATAAATTACGTAAATCTTTCCTAACAAAATGCGTTCCAATATTGTTAACCAATTTAATGAGATTTTCTTAACTAATTTGATAGGATTTTGGTAACCACGGGATTTTGTTAGCTTTTCGTGGAAACACGAATCTTCATTATTGATAAGGTTTGATAAGATTTTGTTTC